CTGAACCAGAGACACTGTATTTATGGCTTTATTTTTTATTTATTAATAATAAATATTGTATTTATACAACAATCTGTAAACCACTAAACCCTCCCCCCTTTTTTTCTATCTTATGACTGCAGAGCTGTTAATGGGCCACTCTACTTTGTATAGTTCCTTACAACATGTGCAAACTATTTATGTTAATCTGTTCCACCTTGCATTTTGCTGTGATGCTGGGAGTGCCTTTCCCAGACCTGAAGAAGAGCTCTGTGTAAGCTCGAAAGCTTGTCTCTGTCACCAACAAGTTGGTCCACCCACCTGGTCTCTCAAGACAAAAAAGAAATGTTAAGCTAGAGTTAAGATTGAGAGTATGTATTCAAGATCTAGCAGTAAAATTATTAAGAAATGGTGTAATTATTCCCAAAATAAGCATTACAAACCCAGGAATTTAGAGTTTAACCTTAATTTAGAAATCCAAACACACCGAGGTATGCAAACACACAGATAAGACACCCAAACACTGCTAACTGTACCCTGTAGTGACCACATGCATATATAAATGTGTATTAAGGCATTTATTACAGTATATTAATCATATGAAAAGTCTAAAATTGCTCTTTGAGAGCCTCCCTCCAAAACCTGTTGACTCTTACCCAAGACTCTGATCTCAGTTTACGTTGGTATTAATCAAAAGTAACTCCATTGGCTTCTGCATGAAGTTCTCTGCAGTAATGTAGTGAAGATGAGAATGTGTTTCTGCATTCTTGTACACTGGAACAAATTAAAGGGTTAGGTGCCCCACAGGCACTTGTGGAGGCAGCTCATTGGTTAGAAGTTTTGGGATCTCACTGCTCCCCTTTTATAAACTGTGAGCTGTTTCATAAGCGCAGTGTGCTGTCTCTGAAGGAACAGGCTGTGCTCTCAGCCTGTTTGAGCAGGCTTGACAGCTAGTCTTTTCCACTGTACTCTCTCCTCCCACACTCCTCACCTAGTAGACTCTGGACTCTAACTCGTTAGTTGAGGAGTTGACTCATAGCAGGAAATGCAGCTAGTTCTTTGTAATAGTGCCTACTCCCTTGACTGCAAGGGATTGGGCTTTCCCCTGCCATGGACAAGTATTGGACCATGAGTCTATACTGACTCCTTGTAAAGGGTGACAGTGGGCACTGCTGTAGGCTGGAGGTGAGGCCTGGGCTGCCCTCTCTCTGAAGCATAATCCCTGCAGGATTAAGGAAATCTGAACACTTGTCTGTGGGGTTGGGTTTAGGGATGTTCTCTGTATTTGTGAGTCTTCTGAGGGAAGCCCATTGCTAGTGGCTAAAATACTCGCTATTTACCCTCCCAGCCTCCACAGTCTGATGTAGCACACTAAAGGACTTGTGAGGAGGAAGCTAGGCCTGGTCAGTGTGTGATCTAGTAAGGCTCAAGTCTTCACCCACCTGGCAGCTGATACCTGCAGATATCATTCCTCCCATTTCTTTTTCCCTTTTCCTGCCTCAGGTCCCCACACCAGGAAAAGGAGATTAAGCTAAAAGTCAGAATCCTTCAAGAAGGGTCTTTGTTATACTGAAGGAGAGAGCGTTGTCCTTTTTAGACTCCTCACAACAATCTGATTCATGATGCACATTACTGAATAGAGCACGTCCTCTTAATACAAGAGATCTAGAAAATCTACAGTAGAATCTCAAAGATACGAACACGAGAGTTATGGACTGACCAAGTGAAACTGGAAGTAATCAATCAGGCAGCAGCAGAGACACCCCCCTCCCCCCCCAAAAGGCAAATATTGTTCTGTGCCTGTATTGCATCTTAGAGATTGGCACATTTGGGCTGCCTGACCCATCCCCGCACACGAGCAGCCACTTACAGCAAGACTCCGGGGCTGCTGGCCCAAGGCAGCCAGAGCCAACAGAGCAGGAGCAGCGCTGGGGTCTGCACCATTTTCACCCCTCCCCTGGCTGGGAGGGGCATGTGCTGTTTTTTTAACACCCCTCCCCTCATAATGGGGACATGCTGTTTATACACACACACACGCGCGCGCCCAAGGAGGGGGACAAGCTTGCAAACTCATACTGGTGCTAAGTAGGGGGCTCAGCTACCGCTGAAACCTGGCCTAGCGAGTCAATTGCTCTGAGGTTCTACTGTATGTATGCTCCATAGACCTCAGAGAACCATTTCTCCGTGTCCCAGTCCATTCTTCCTATTCTAGACACTTGAGGTTTGTAGTGGGGGAGGCTTAAATTCAGTAAGTGATCTCCTCCTTCAATCCCATGAGACATCTTCAAAATATTAGCAGGTGCTGATTTTCCTTTTGCTGAAGAGAGAGTATCCACATATTTCTCCAGCCAGTGGGCCTCTTCATTTGATTGCAGTGCAGATAAAAGGGGGTCCAGGTCTCTCTCTCTCTCTGGTCAATCAGCATAGATGTGTGATCATCTGGGAAAAGAGCTGCTTATCTCCATCACAAGAATCCATCTCAACAAAGTTATCCTGCTTGTGGACTACAGAGAAACAAAGTCTTGGTTTAGACCCAATACTTCATCTAGCAAGCCCTTCTTTCTTCAGGCTTGATAGTATCATGCTGAGATGCAATCCTGTGGCCTTTCCTCTCAGATCTTTTCTTTTATAGTGTGGGTTCTCCTCCCAGTATCTCTGCTCAATTAGATCACTCCCACCACTGCAAATTTGTCTCTAAAATAATGGAATAATTCCAGAAACCTGGCTTAGGGGAAACCTCTACTCAAGATCCCAATCCATCTGGATCACAGCAGACACCTGTCTGACCAGCTAGAGGGGCGTGCATGGATTTTTTTTTTCCCAATTAAGGAAAGCAATCACCTATACATGCAAAGGAACATCATTCTGCTGGAACAGTGGGCAGTTGGCTTTCTCATAAGATACCTAGTAATATTTTCATGTCCTCCTGCATAATACAGAATGACTGCCCTACTGCTCTGCCTTTTTATAAATCATCATGGTAGCATATACACCTTGTACCCGAGAATGGAAACTCTTCAATCTACCACCTTCTAGAGAATCAAAGCATTACAGTTTGTGCACTGTATTCAGGGGAAACTCAACATTCAAGCTGAGTTTCCACACGGATACTGGGAAGCAGTATTTTAACAGCACTGTATGGAACTCTGCAGAAGTGCTTTTTGCACCAAAATGCAACTAAAAGTAGCATCTCTTATGTCCAAACATTAGGAGAAAAACTTAAGGAAAATAGAAATCTTGTCACCTGATTGGATCTTCAGATATGCATTTCTCCTCTTTCCCCTTTCAACTCAGGTGGCCAGGAAAATGGGGAAAGACAGGGTCAGCATGTCCCTTACAGTCTGTATTGACAGGATATTTCTCCAATCTGAAGAAGTCAGTCTGTCTTCCCTGGCAGTTACTCCTCAAAGATTTCTTGAAGAAGGGTCCGATTGGTTCCAAAAGCCCTGGCAAGTTCAGACTTACTGCCTGGATTGTGACAAGATATGCCTATGGAACTGGAATGTCTGTGAAGAACTCGTGGAAGACCTACTTCAGTCTAGAAAGCCATTCAAAAAGCCACTGCCTTGTTAATATTATACAATAGTAAGGACAAAGGCCTTGGTGCCTGTAAGATAACTTTCACCTGGTGAATGTGAGTAGCAGTTAAGTCACTTAAGGAGAATGGTAAATCTTATCACCTTTCAGTTTAAGAGCTTTGTACAAAATCTATTTCCATTATATGGGAAGCGAAATAAAGCATTTTATGAGAGAATCTGCAAGGGAGCAACGTTTGTTTTGTTTTAAGGACTGTTTTAAAAACATTGTGATGCCTTTGATGCTAAAGTCTTGTAGTCTTCTGTCCTCCCTTCATATCTAGGTTCCCTAGCTCTTGCCTTTTTCCTAGGTTTTGGATTTGCTAATTCCCAGTAGTCTGTTTCAGACTGATGGATTGTCTAAGAATGAGACTAGGCAATGTTGTCCTCACTTGTTAGCAGGGTGTGAGCGTGTATGCATGCCCGCATGCATGTTCTCTGGAGGACTCCACTGGGTTTTTGACTCAGTTCCTATGTTTATATAAGAGGAGCAGTTGGACCCCAAACTTCTCACTATTGACCTCCTTTCTTGATTGCTGATGGGTGTGGCTTACCCAATATTCCATTCCAAATTGATAGATTGTCTCTTAACAGGGAATCTATTTACAGGCATGGTCAAGATTGTCTATTTGTCAGTGATTGTGTGCGTTCATGTAAAGATGGGGCATTAGGACACGGATTTAAACTAAATAAAATTATCAAAATTCTCTCTCTCTCTCTCTCTCTCAAATTTTGGATTGTACCAGTATCTAGTAGGAAGTTTTCTAGGATGTCAATCATTATTCTGCTGTTATCTTTCTAGAAGATTCAGAATACAGTATTTTTCTGTAATAATGGGAAGTCTACTCTAACAGATACAGTAATACTTATTGTAAAAATACCTGCATGACTATTGTAGGATGTTTGTTTTATCCTCTTGTTTTGATTCTGTCATTCCCTCCAGTAGGAACAGTATCCTTTTTATGTGACAGGCTGCACTTGAATTTGATGCTGTGATGCTATGGTTTTCTTCAGGCTGAATATTCCTCTGTAAATACAGTACACTTCCTTATTTATTCAGATGGCCTGGGGACATCTAGAAGATTAGATAACTAGGCATTTGGATAAACAGAAGTGCTGTTTTGAGCTGCAGTCTCACTAAGATAGAAATATGGGGAATGAAGGGAGTAATGTTGATATTTGCTTAATATTTTGCACTTTAAGTTTATTAAAACACCCAAATTGTATTAAAACTACTGTGTACATAATTCTGCATTTTTCTGAGGTGCTATACAAATACTAAGCCACTGATTAGTGCCAGCAGGCTCTAGTAGGTTGATTGAGAATATATTAGCAGGTGATTGATTAATATAGGGCTACATGGGGGGCACACTGGGATTTGGATAACTAGACTTTTTGGGTAAAGGGATTTGTATAACTGGAATTATTCTGTAATTCCATTTACAGGTTGCTATATTTGCTTCAGCAAGAAACCTCCAGCACGGAACTGAGAACTGAATGTGCGGTAGTGCTAGGAAGCCTTGCGATGGGTACAGAAAACAATGTCAAATCTCTACTAGACTGCCATATTATCCCAGCCTTATTGCAAGGTATCTTGGCTTTCATTTAATGCAATATACTTTGGTAACTATTTCTACAACACTTGTGTTTTAAATAAGCAAAAAGAATGAAACTATATGGATATTCACAGGATTGCTGTCACCAGAACTGAAGTTTATTGAAGCTTGCCTCCGATGTCTTCGTACCATTTTCACCAGCCCAGTAACTCCAGAGGAACTATTGTATACAGTAAGTTTTAGGCAATGTATCTTTGCTCTTGTATATAACTTCTGTTCATGCAATGCAACCTGTATTATGTGTGTGTGCTGATGGCATCTGTTTGTGATAATATTTGGGTATGGTGCTACTAACACTATTAATATTTCACTCATAGGCATCAGGAGTCTAGATAACCTGACCCTGTGAACATTATTTGTTTGGCAACGGGAGATCCTGACTACTGATGCCACTTGTACATGAATTAACTGAAAATTCTAGCTTTCTGGCCTATTGTGTATATAGAAGATGTGAGAATACAGATGGTTTGGTTTAATTCAAGTATCATTTAAGATGGGGGAAAAAACATGGTATCACAGAATCATAATAGTTAGAACTGGAAAAGACTAGGTCTAATAAATCATGCAGGCAATACAGCATTTTCTTCTAACCTAAATTTTTAGTGCTTTATTCAGTTTTAAATATTTCAGGTAGCTTCCATCATTTAGCTTGGAAGATCCTCACTGTCAAGATCTTTTCTTCTTATAGTTAACCTACATTGTCTCTTCCTTAGTTTGTTAGAAAGGGCAGAATTTGTCTGGCATAATCTTTTTTTTCTGGCTCATGCATCATCACCAGCAATAATCTATCTTGAGTCTCACGTGCCAGGCTAAATTAGCAGGGCTTTCAGTTAAAGGGGGAAAAAACCCTCCTGTTTGTACACTGCGTGAATTCAATATAGCATTTGAGAGAAAATGAACATGGACCCCCTACAATGTCATTTTTACAGACACTTTTCAGTGCTGATCCACGCTGTAAGCTCGCAGTATACATGCAACACTCTGCATCTAAGCAATCAGGAGTCAGACTTGGGCTAAAAAGCATTAAGGCCAAAAATTTTAAATACTTGCACTACTAACATTGCAGGATGGGTGGCTAAAATGTGTTGTTTAGACACTTGGAGATCCGTTGCATTGTCATTGTGGGCTGGGCTTCTGCAAGAGTGCTTGGAGTCTTCAGGTTTGAGCTGGGAATAAAGGAGTGCCGAAAGGCATGGCCCTTAATTGAATTTTCAGAAATACTGAGACCGCCTCCTATACATCCAAACAAGTATTATTGCTCTAATCTTGCCAGAAGCATTGAGATGCATCCATATGGAAGTGCTGTTTGGTTTAACATGACTTATGATGGGACTCAGGTCATGTCTACCCTTACCTCCGGAGCGATCGATACAGCAGGGGTCAATTTATCGTGTCTAGTGAAGACTCGATAAATCAACCGCTGAGCGCTCTCCTGTCGACTCCGGTACTCTACTGACGCGAGAGGCGCAGGCGGAGTTGATAGGGGGGCATCAGCAGTCGACTTACCGCAGTGAAGACACCGCGGTAAGTAGATCTAAGTATGTCGACTTCAGCTACATTATTCACATAGCTGAAGTTGCGTAACTTAGATTGATCTCCCCCTCTAGTGTAGACCAGGCCTTACATATTTTCTCAGTTCATGCAGCACATTGTTATTTTTATTGCAGGCACATTCCAAACATTGTAGGAAATCATCACCGGTTAGGTTTCTTGTTCCTTCAGTATGATGGGTTTTCTGTACAGTGTACATACATTTCATGATGGTTTCGATAAACTTTACTCCCCATATGTGATGCCATGAAACACCTCCTGAAAGTAATAGGCAGACATAGCCAGTTAGTGACATCCGTGAAATCCTCATTCCATTACTTAGAGGCCTGATCCATCTCTCATTAAGGTCAGTGGCAAGACTCCAATGGGAAGTGGATGGGTATTAGGTAAACCACACAAAAGTGTCCCTCACTGCTTTTCATTGCATACTTATCTTTAGCAGGCCAACACCTTGTTAATTCAATCAGCAGCTGACTAAAAATGTTGCCTGTGGCAGAAGAACAGTCTGTCCACTGTAGAGCCTTATGGCCCTGCAAAGAGTGCTGGAGATTCCACATGTGTGGATATCAGGCTTCTTAGTGGCAGTAACTTGGTATCTTTTATTAATGAAATTAGAAGTTTGGCTGATAAAGGTAATAGTGTTGATGTAATAGATTTCTGTAAAGCCTTTCAGTTGGTATAGCATGATATTTTGATTAAAAAACTAGGGCTGTTAAACAATTAAATTAACAATTAATTGTGATTAATCATGAGAGAAAAATATGATTAATCACAGTTTTAATTTCACTATTAAGCAGTAATAGAATACTATTTAAATATTTTTGGATATTTTCTACATTTTCAAATATATTGATTTCAATTACAACACAATACAAAGTGTACAGTGCTCACTTTATATTTTTGATTACAACTATTTGCACTGTAAAAAAGATAAACAAAAGAGTATTTTTCAGTTCACCTTATACAAGTACTGTAGTGCAATCTCTTTATTGTGAAAGTGCAATTTTCAAATGTAGAATTATTTCTTTTACATAACTGGGTTCAAAAACAAAACAATTTAAAACTTTAGAGCCTACAAGTCCACTCAGTCCTACTTCTTGTTCAGCCAATTGCTAAGATAAACAAATTTGTTTACATTTACGGGAGATAATGCTGCCTGCTTCTTATTTATAATGTCACCTGAAAGTGATGATAGGCATTCGATGGCACTGTTGTAGCTGGCGTTGTAAGGTATTTATATGTCAAATATGCTAAACACCATCAATTCAGTCACAACACAGGCTTACCTACCAAGGGGCAGGTTCCAGGCAATGAGAGAAAGCATAACTCACATTATCAACAATCCTAATGTACTGGCCAGGACTTGCCTATCTCTCCTTGGCCACATGGTTTTGCATACATACATGACCACCTTCACTCGACTCCATCTTTGCTGCCTCCAGATGTGACTCCAGACAGTTTACTTGCCCAAACATTACGTCATAGACCTCTTGCTGAGTGTCCCTGCTCTCATCCCTTCAGACAGACCCACATCATGTATGCATAGGGATTCCCCTTCCTCTTCTCCCCGGAAAAGACGATAATCATCGACACATGTCAGACAATATGGCCACTGTTTTCTGCACCAACAAATGGTGGGATGGGAGGGGGGGCCACAAGATTGACTGCTCTATATACAGAAACAGTCAATCTCTGGAATTGGTGCATCGCGCATCAGACCCTCTTGTGCTTGCGGACTCGCTCAGCAGACATTTTATGATTGACCACAAGTGGAAACTTCATGGTTTGGTAGTGACATCTTCATCCAGTGTGGGATTCCGATCAGAGACCTCTTTGCCTCGCATATAAACAGCAAATGCACCACGTACTGCTCCAAGGGAGGTCTCTGCCACCTCTCTCAGGACAATGATCCCCTAAGATCAAATCCTCCTTTACTGTTCCTCAGGTACTGTACAAGATCTAACGAGACGGAACAACGGTCATTCTGATCGTCCCCAGCTGGTCCAGACAGTTCTGGTTTCCCAATCTCCTTTTCATGTAAACCTGTCCCCCAATTTCTATCCCCACCTTCCCCAATCTGCTGACACAGTGCAACAGCAAGATCAGACATCCCAATCCACAGGCGCTGCTCCACCTGAGAGCATGGTTTTGAATGGGCATCTGCTTTAGAACGGACCTGTTCTTCATCTGCGCAAGACATTCTCTCCAGCAGCAGGAAGGAATCCACCAGGCGCTGTTACTGGAACAAGTGGAAGCACTTTGCCTCCTTGACCCAACAAAGTGGAGTTTCACCGGAATCAGCAGGGATCATCCTCTTCCTGGATTGTGTTCTATCCCTGAAGGCATCAGGCCTTGCCATCAACTCTTTGAAAATCCATCTGGCACTAATTAGCACATTCCTGTGGAAGGTCACTCCGTCTTTACACACATGATAACTGCTATGTTTTGGAAGGGTCTCATCAGAACCTTCCCACCCCAACCCATCACAGCCCAATGGGACCTGAACCTAGTTCTATCTATGCTAATGAAACAAAACAACCATTTGAACTGTTAACATTGTGCTCTATGTCCCTTCTTTTCCTGAAAGTCACCTTCCTTGTTGGTATCACTTTCGTGAGAATGGTCGGCAAACTCGGAGCTATGATGGCTGACCCACCTTTCACAATTTTCCACAAAAGATAGTCTCACTGAGCCTGCATCCCAAATTCTTATCAAAGGTAATCTCCCAGTTTCACATCAATCAATCCATTCACTTACCTGTTTTCTTCCTGAAGCCCCACACACCTACAGAGGAACGCAAACTCCATTCTCCGCACGACCATTTCATCCTCATCCTCGCTCTCTGTTCCAATTTAGGTACAATAGGGACCATTATTTGAAGAAGAGGAGGTTGTTGTTCCCCATTATGTAGCTGTGCATTAGATTTTTTCCCCTTTCCTTAATGTAGTACTTTCCACCTGTCTATTGAATTTCATTTTGCTGATTTCAGATGAATTCTCCAGTTTAAGGTAATTTTAAATTCTAATCCTATCCTCCAAAGTGTTTGCAACCCCTCCCAGTGTGATGTCATCTGCATATTTTATAAGCATACTCTCAGTTCCATTATCTGTCATTAATGAAAATATTGAATAGTATTGGACCTGAGGCAAATCCCTCTGGGACTCCACTTGATACATCTTCCCACTTTGACAGTGAGCCATTGATAACTACCCTTTGAGTATAGTTTTTCAACCAGCTGTGCCCTCATCTTATAACAATTCCATCTAGACCACATTTCCCTAGTTTCATTATGACAGTTTCATGTGGAACTGTATCAAAAGCTATATTAAAATCAACATATATCATGTCTACTGCTTCCCCTTATCCACCAAGCCACTAACCTTGTCAAAGAAGGAAATTAAATTGGTTGGCATGATTTGTTCTTCACAAATCAGTGTTGGCTATTACCTATCAACCCTATAATCCCTTAGGTGCTTACAAGTTGATTGTTAAATAATTTGTCATGGTATCTTTCCAGGTATGGAAATTAGGTTGACTAGTCTGTAATTCTTCAGTTCCTGTTTGTTTCCCTTTTTAAAGATAAGTACTATGTTTCCCCTTCTCCAGACCTCTGGGACCTCA